GCCCAGTTGTTATTAATTGGCCGGCACCTGCTAGAAGACTCTAGCAGGTGCCGGCCAATAGGAAACAGTTGGGTGGAGCTAGCTGTCACTGCTAGCTCCGTCCAATTGTTTTTTTTTTATTTCTTTTAAAAAAAATCTTAATTTCTTTCTAGATTTTTACATTTATTTACATTTTTTAAATCTTTTTTAATTGATTTCCTATTCAGCTTAGTAACCCGATTGAGGTACTGAGCAGAATAGCTGGCAGATCGGCGTCATTCGACTATTCACTCACTGCCGTTCGGCCCCTACGTGCATAAGTTGTTCCAATAGTTCAATAAACTTTTTTCTTTAGTACTGAGAAAAATGTGCAAGCACATGGCCAAAAGGTTGGAATCCCAAAGAGAAAGAGTACTAATCTGCAGGCACATTCCTGATCTCTTAACCCAGTTATGGGACATCCAACCTTTAGGCAGAGGTAGCACATCACATTTCCTCCATGACACCCCCTCAGGGGAAATATCTGGATTAGTACTCTTACTCTTTGATGACCTATGTGATTACCTTGTAAAGATTGGTTAGATTTGGGCACATGGATGTTTTGAGGTTAGAATGTTTTGGATAGATCTTTTTAAGAACAACACAGAGATTTAATATATTTATATAGATAATTACCACACCTGTCAAGGTTTAGTCGTATATACAGGCATAGTGGTATAATTCATATTCCAGGGATGCTTTCAACTTACAGTTTGGGCTAGGATGAAGCAGTTGGTTTTGGTGTTGATAAAACATGGTGACTGACAGTAAGATAAAATTTGACATGGGCTGATCACTATACGGTTTACAGAGATGCACAGAATATGACTGAGGTCGGAGTGACAGAAGAGGAAACTACACCAGTATGTTTGCACTATATATATATATATACACACACACACACACTGAGTGGCCAGATTATTATGACCACCACCCCATCAGTACTTAGTTGGGCCACGAGATGACTCTCCACAAGATGACTTCGTTGGGCCGCCTCGTGACTCCACGAGATGTTGACA